TTTTTTTGTTCAAAATTGAAAGCAATGGTTACTCAAAAATAATGGCCATGGAAACAAGAGCTCTATTTCATTACTGTTCCACATGCAGAATTGAAGTAACTGGGGCTACTCTATGCATTAAATTAGCCAGGCATTTAAATCTTCCCAGGATTCAGGGTCTATATGGTAAGTGTGGATGTTAAATCTGTAAGACTTTGTTACTGCAGTGAAAACAGACATGGTCCAAAATACGAGCCAAGGGAAATGAGAATTTTTATCATGCATATTTCAGAGAGAAATAATATGGCTGGGGAGCAAGTCAGTCCCCACACGCCGCTTCCTTGACTTTTAATGCTTTTCTCTTTTTATACAGTATGAAAAAATACAGCTCAGGTTGTACCTCTGTAGTAAGTATTTATGTATCCTAGATAATGAGATAGACATACTTACTTGTAGCTGTTTTTATGTAGGTCATTCTTTGTCTGCAAGTTACATCTCTACTTGTGCATTTTATTACACTGAAAGTTATATTCTGTGCTACAAACTGGAATGCTATAATAATAACCTAACACTCCCTTTGTTAGGCAAATTTTTAGAAGTATCACCACTTAAATAACAAAATAAAATGCGCATTGCAAAATGTCAACTGTCCTTTCATTTTTTAAAGACAATCTGTGTTGTTTTAATGCCTGCTATCTTTGAAGAAATGGTATGAGAGACTTCGGAAAGCAATACCATCCTACAGCAATACTCTTGGAAATGTTAAGTCTTAACATTGATTTAAACCCAAGCACATCAATGATTCCTTTCTGTTCTTTCAAGCATATTTATCTTTATAATGTTGTTACCCTCTTAGAGGACAATTTCCTTTAAATTCTAATGGATCTGGTGCAACACTTTCATTCATGGAAAGTGAGAGTGTTAATGATGTCAGCTGGTGTGAGTGAGACCACACAGCTCCTTTCTGCTGGAAATACTTCATCCTTTACACTGTGCTTTTATCTGACAAATCTATTTGATATATGCAGTAAGACAACAGCAAGTGTGTACGCTTATCACCCTTAAGAGTGCAGTCTTTGGCATGAGCCTTACCGTTATTAAGGTGTGTCACTGCCAGAGCATAGCACACGGCTGCCCATCCTGACGTGGTTCTTAAATCCTCCCAACAATAAAACCAACCCTACAGCATTGATACCTTTTCTCTTCTCCATGACACAAGCGATCCGCGTATAAACCATTAGTGAATTAACTGCGTTGCCGTTTGCACGGAGCCCTCTGAATACAAAATAATGCTGCTTTTATACAGCTGGATTCTGCTTCCCCATCAGGCAATCAATAGCTGCTTTGCTGCTGAATGCACAGAGCCAGCCTGGCCCAATAAATGCTGAATAGTTTTATTAGTGAATGAGCAGATGACACAGGAACCCTGCCAACAACGTGCAAGCAATCTGCCTGGGGGATGGGGGAATAACCTGTGATCAATAAAAGGGGGCTGGATCATCTGGATGAGCAAAGGACCGTGGTCATTGGTAGAGCTAGGCTGGCTGAGGATCTCCTCCATCGGAAATTTAATTTTGGAGGGAACAAAATAAGCAAAGAGCTATGCCGTAAAGTGCCAAAGCAATAAGGCACAAGAGTTTAAAAGGGCTTTAGGATGCAGTGGTGCTTTTTTATAAAGGAAGGGCATTCCCTGGGAAAGACGAAGCAAAGAGATGGGGTTGAGGGAAACTCTAAAATTGTAGTTGAGATTAATAATGATTTGTTGTCCCACAATTCATTATTATTAAATTTACGGTAACAATCAATCAGCTGCTTCTGTTCCTGGTTTTGAGTTAAACATTCACCCTGAATAAGTGACGTGTTAGAGAAACAACCACCAGGTCCAAGAGGCTTGTGCATGCTGGGGACCACCCAGACCAGTGCAGTGTCCTGGCGGGAAGAAGCTGGCTGCAGTCACCTCCTGCTTCTCACCTCCCTACCTCCCACAGATGTCAGTCCAGGTATTATTTAGTGAAGGCAAACAAAGAGAAAGTACTTGATGCATCATTTAATTAAATTACTGAGACTCAGTTAAATAGATGCAAAAAAATGCCTCTAATACAGTTTCTGAAATAGCTAAATTATCCAGCATGCGGAATTTATTCACATTCCTTTTTCACGCTAAGCAGAGCTTCTGCGTGTCAGTAGTTTCTACTGAAGTCCTACTCATTCAGCATCATCAGACTGGACTGTCAAAACACGAAGCAGAATTTCAATGGGGCCAGTAATGTCTTTGAGCAATGATGTGAATTCTCTTCATACATTGAAGAGAAACATACCCAGCAGCTTAAAAGTCATCACAGGGCTGTACTTGAATTACCTAGTGATTAATACTTTCACAGGAGTTTGCACTAGCAAGTGTCATTGAAGAACCTACAAGCAAAACATAGCTGTAGGGATATCTTTATTTTATGGAAATGCATTCACATTGTGAAAAACACAAATGGAAGCAATATTTACCTTCTTAAGATTGTAAGTTTTCAGGAGAATGCAGCTGAGTAATTGGAAGTACACAGCAGAAATAATGTAACATTTATTTCCTTTTTAAAAGGAAAAATGTAATTTTTTCTGCAGTAATGGGGCTATCGTGTCAAAGGTAAAAACCTTCTCTTCTGAACATCTTTACTTTTGAACAGAACCTGGAAAAATCCATCACGGACCAAAAGAGAAAGAAATGCTGCATAGCAGGAGGGTTTGCCTCAGCTCTTGGTAAAACAATGCATCACATGCCTCGTTGTGGTGGTACCATGAAACTGCATTCCACTTTTTTGGCCTTGGTTTAGGATTTATCCATTGAAAAAAGAAAAAAAGAGAAAGAGAATGACATCTGAGAGCCCACTCCTAGAAGAGCTTACTGGTAGCGTTCACTGTTACTTTGTCTTCCTTGCTCTGCCTTCGGTAGCAAGGATGTGCTGGGGAGACTCAGAAATGCAGAGCAGGGCTGCAAGATCCTGCTGATTGCTGAAATAGCAGAACTCGGTCAGGATTGAAGCAGCTGTGGGGTGGAGAGAGGACACTGAGCAGCAACCAGACACAGACCAGTGTGATTATACCACGAACGCTTGCAATGCTTGGCATGCCAGGAACGGTGTGTGGAAGAAGAGAGAAATCATGAGGCTGGAACAGATTCTGAATTTGGAGCAGCACCTCTCGCTGTTGAAAGGCTGATGAATGAAGTAGTGAGTGAAGGGACTGAAAATGGGAGCTCTCTGACGGAGAAATACCAATCAGTGCTCCAGGCAGAAGGTCCTGATAGAAAAGAATGAGTTAGCTAACGGTAAGTAAGGCTGCGTGTTTCAGATACAGATGCTAGCAGATGAGACAGATGGATTTTCCTTTATATAGAGCACTCAGATAAATCACTTTTTTTTTTTTTTCTGAGGTTAGGCAGCTAAAGGCAGCTACAGGGACTAGGGGTTGACAAGCAATAAGAATTATGCTCTAATAATTGCACTATGTTTACTGAAAGAGATGCAGAGCATTTTTAGATCTGTCACCAGGTGACTGGTCCTCTGAGGTGGAAGAGAGCCCAGTCTTCACAGTGCCATAATCACTGGCAGCTATGAGGGAGATTGCGGGGATTCAAGATGCCTTCCTAAAAAACTACAAACATGGATGAACAGAAGGAACGTCCAGAAATGAAAACTTTATACAGCAAGAAGACATTAGTTTAAAGAACAACAGAACATTTCAAATCAAAGGGAGATGAAGAGTATCACCTAAACGGAACAGACCTTGGAAAGGAGGAATGTATCTCTAATGGGCGATGGGAAAAAGCTATGGGTGCAGTCTTGTTTTTACATCCCTCTGACACAAGAGATTCAGTTTTGAATGTTTCATGTAATTTTTAGAGCTCTTTAAGTGTCTGAGAGACAGCAATCAAAGATATTAAGACTAGTGGGATATCCTTCCCCAGGAAT